GATTTGATAAAAATATGTAGGCTAGACTATATTTTAAATAGTTAAAGATAACATTTATGTTTTATTCAACAAGCCCTTTCATTATTTATTAATCATTTCCATTAAGCTAAATCATTGGAATTTACCTCTCTTTCTGCATTTCCGTTGTCTTGCAACACACTGGCAGTTACCCAGGTAGAAAAGTGGAAGAGGGACTTAAGAGAAACTTTAGAGACGATTCACAAACTCCTGCAGCCAGATCTCTTCCATCTCTGCTGCAGAGCTGAGACTGATGGAATTTTTGGCTGATGGTCCAATGAAGGAGGAAAGGCAAAGACAGAAGAATCAATAGATCCTTTTCCTTATTACATGCTGCTTCTATCCATTCAGTTGTGTCCAACTCTTGGTGATCCAGCACAGTCTTCCAATCTTGCACTACTTCTTTGAGTTGTTCTATATACTCTGACCTGTGTGAACTTTGATGGTGTGCAGCCACTGTGTTCTTTGGCGGCCTGGTTTGCTTTTACCGTTAACTCTTCCAAGCATAATTGCTTTCTCCAGTGAATTCCCCTGCTTGATGTGGCCAAAATAAGTGAGACGCAGTTTTGTGATTTTTGCCTTCCAGTGATATGTCTGGTGTTATGGGCTCCAGTATTCACTTGTTAGTCAACTTTGCTATCCAAGGGATATGTGCTACACATGCTACACATACAAAATCTTTAAATACAAAATCAAGATAGCACAACTCAGCAGTAAGTCAGAAAAGACACAATAATGGCAGGATAGAGATGGGGTGGTGGAGGGAGGAGGTAGCAAATGTTATGCATCTGCTCTCCTGCCCTCTCAAGCATGGATGGATAGCAGTTCAATTCAGTTGTGAGTAAAGGCTTTTGTCTGTAACCATTGGTAGCAGAAGAATATAAGTATTAACTTCACACTACATTATCCTTAGAAAGTATTCATTTTCCTGTACGGTGTATTAGTGACTACAGTTTTAATATACGTTACCTATTAACTATTACCTGTTAAAAAGGTTAAGGTTGAATGTAACAATCTAGTTTTCATTGTGGGACTGACAAAGTGTTTTTATTCCTGCTTTTTCTTCCTGTAAACGAACACATAGTAATAGGACTAGCAGGGGTGAGTTCTCAGGAAAAGATGCAGCTGCTTTTAAGAGTTGCAGATGGTGCCTGGGAACACGAAGAGACCCGAGACTTCGTGGTAGAACCCTAGTTTAGGTTTTACGTGTCGTTTAGGTCCTCAGTTACAAAAGTCTTCTTTACCACAGTAAAGTGGATCGGTTCTAGAAGAATTTAGGTCGAAAAACTTTCTTGCGGTGACGTCATTGTTTGTTGTAGGGTCACAGGTAAAGTCTTATTAAAACATGAGAGCTGTGCAAGATACCATGACTTTGATCACCTTTACTCCTGAAATACTAATGCCACAATTTAAGCCGCCCTGAGTCCGCAAGGAGAAGGGCGGGATATAAATGTAATTAAATAAATAAATAAATAAATAAAATAACTCACAATTATTAGGGGGAAAATAAACATTTCAAGCTTTCCAATAACTGTGTTAAAATCTTGAACACAGCCGCTAAGACTTTGTACACAAGAATGGCAGCTGCAATACAATTGAGGGATGCACAAAGGTTGAAATAATTTTCATATGTCCATAGAAGGGATCATCAGGCCTTGGGATCTTTCAGTCAAGTATGAGAATGACAGATATGTCTGTGGAGATTCTCAGTCATCCAGGTCACGGTTGTCCCAAAGCTGCTTTTTCAAGAGGCAACTAGATTTTCTTTGTTTTTCTTTGAAGACATTTTGCTTCTCATCCAAGAAGTCAGAACTGAAGAAGCTTCTTGCATGAGAAGCGAAATGTCTTCAAGGAAAAACAAAGAAAATCCAGTTGCCTCTTGAAAAAGCCTCTTTGGGTGAGAATGATAGACATGCTATTACAGTGGGCTGGGCTTTTAGATGACTGAACTGCATTCATAATTAAAGAAAAAGAAAAGAAACAGTATACTGTTTCAGTAAAAACTTGACTGTGACATGCAAATTCTTTGCTGCCAATTATTCCAGAACTATGGCTACATGGTTCAGGTGAGGGTTAAAAACATGAAAGGAAAAAAACTATGGATAAGAAAAATGAATATAAGAGAATGATGGCTATAAATAAATAAGAATCAATATTGATACGTAATGCATATGTACAGAAAAAGAAAATTGCAAAGAATGCAGTAAAAAAGTGCAGGGAATGGTTAAGAGAAACAGAGGAAATGCAGAAAGATTTTGATGGAAATAAAAAACAACCCTATTTTGTAAGTAGGTGAAAAAGCTTTAAAAGGAGTCTCAAGCAGAATAAATAAAAATTATAAGGGCCAAAAGGATTTAAGTAACTGAAGTAACTGAAACTGATGTAGGGGAATGTTGAAGGAGAATTTTAGAGATTTCTATGGGAACGATCATTGACATCATTTTGTTGAAAAGTGGGATTAAAACAAATGCTATGTTACTGTCCAGGGGGAAAAAAAAGATGAAAAAGGGAGTAATTAATACATGCAGTGAAAATGCTGGAAAAAAAAAGTGAGGCTGCCAGAATAGACAAAGTGAATAAATGTTCAAGTCAGAATGTGATTAATATGAAGTGGCTTTGTGAGTTATTTAACATGCGTGAAGACTGTCTGTGCCTGACAATTGGAAGAATGTTGTTATTGTTCCTTTGGAGAGGCAGTAAAAACTACAGAAAGAGAATAAGGTTCCTGCTTTGGCAGAATTAGGACTGAAAGTAAAGAGAAGTAACTGTAAGAAAAGTCTGGGAAATACCAAGCAGGAATATGCATACCAGTTCCTTATTCTTCCATAGACATGAATACGAGAACATTTGTTGTGCATTTGTTGATTTAGAGGACTCAAACACCAAAGTGAATGTACTTGATTTATGGAATGGTTTTCATAAACTGAAGTTGAAGGCTGATTGCCAATGGAGTAATATGATAGGAATAAAGCATTTGTGAAAATAAATGGAATGCTTAGCTAATGGTTCAGAACTGAGCAGGGACTAAGACAGGGGTCTTCAAACTTGGCCCTTTTATGACTTGTGGACTTCAACTCCCAGAATTTCTCAGCCAGGCATGCTGGCTGAGGAATTCTGGAAGTTGGTCCACAAGTCATAAAAGGGCCAAGTTTGAAGACCCCAGGACTAAGAAGAGTATAATATATCCCCATGGTTGTTTAATGTTATGGATATAGGAATAATATATGCTGTTATATATGCTGACAGCAGGAAGACTACTTTATGCAAAAAAATGGAAGGACATTTCGATCCCTACAATGGAAGAAGGGCTGCAAAAGCTGATGGAGTTAGCAAAGATGGCTAAATTGACTGCATTGATTAAAGAAAAATATATATTTTGTTTCTACTTGGAAGCTGCTTCTGAACTTTGTGCCTGAGGTAGAAAAAAAATGAAACTTTGATTTTGGGCTTTACCATTAGACAGATTTGTTGTTATAGAAATGGCTACTTTATGTAAAAGTAAAAAGTTGAGGATGTTACTGCTTTATCTTATTGCACTAGTGGGAGTCAGAAGTGAACATCTTTTTTTTTTTTCTCCCTTCTTTTCTACACTTCTCCTTGTCCCTTTCCCTCTTTTCTCTCCTATTACTTGCTTTTCTCTCCTACTACTTGCTTTTGTATTTTATATTATAAAGTAATAAAAATGGTAAACTGAAAGAAACAACAACGGCTGGGCATAAGAGCATGTTGAAATAAAAAGAATAAATTGATAGATCCAGGCACGAATGGGTGCTGAATGAATACAGATCAAGATCAAAATAGAACTAGTGTGAGAGAGATATGTTGAGGTGATTTAGTCAGAGAGAGAGAATAAATGAGGATCAGGTTTCAAAGCAAACATAGGAAGGAAAAATGAAAGTGTCAAAGGAATTATAATTAGGGGCAACTGTTGAGATCATCACAAAGAAAAAGGAGAGAAGTTTAAAGATCAAAATCCTTCATATAAATCAGTGTATGGTTGGATTGGGGTAAAGAAGGTTTGCAAGCATACAAAGGCATTGAGAGGAACAGTGAATAATGAGAGGAATAAACATATGTGTCGGTGTAAATTCGATTCAGATGTATATTTCCTCTTCTCTTACCTAATGCCTCAATTTGCTAGGCTTATTCATTTCTAACCCATTTTCTGCATTTTGCATAATGAAAAGGAATAGTGTAATAAAAATGCTGAAGAAAAAGCAGGGTCATTGCTTCTAAATGTCTGTGGAGATTCTCAGTCATCCAGGTCATAGTAATCCCAAAGATGCTTTTTGTGGAGCCTTCTTCAGTTTGTTCTCCGTCAGGACAAGAGTCAGCAGTCCATCTGCATTTAAAAGACAAAGGCCACACTTTTGAAGACAGCAAAGTCCACATTTTGGACAGAGAGGACCGCTGACTTGAAAGAGGGGTCAAAGAGGCCATCTATGCCAAAATTGAACAGCCCTCTCTCAACAGAGGGGGAGGGATATCTATCTCCAATCTATAATACAGTCCTTTCAACAGTTCCAAGGTGGCTCCACACACATTTGCACTGCTCAGGTGACCCTGAGGACACAAGTAAACCTCAAAGTGGCCTTAACGACTCTCTAAAAGAATGCAAATGACCAGCTGTCTGCAAGGAGTATAAATCCTTCCATTCCCCACCATCCAGTCAGAGCTAAATTCTTGGATGAGAAGCGAAAGGACTTCAAAGAAAAACAAAGAAAGTCCAGTTGCCTCATGAAAAAGCATCTTTGGGACTCATTGCTTCTAGTCATTTTGAAGTACCAATGAAATGGGATTGTTAGTTGATATATTGAGAAAAGACATCAACTGCATCAAATTTTCTATTCATCTCTTTTCCTTTTGGCAGAAGGTCAGCTGAATGTTATTGTTGAGAAAAATCGGCCTGGTTTAAATCCAGGGGATTTCCTATAGAGAAAGACACCACAGAAACATTTTTCTTCCAGAAATTTTTTTGGGATCTATTGTAATTGGAATAATATTTTACAAGCACTCAAATCTCTGTAAAAAGCAGTTTTAAGGGCTAATCGTGTAAGATCATAAGTAGGAAAAATTACAGACAGAAATGCATACATTGATAAGGGTCAAAGTCCAAGGTAACTCTTAGGGAATGAGAAATGAGAAGAACATTATATTTAACCCTGTATTTAAAAAACAACAAAGAAACATTAACCAAGAAACATTCTCTTCTTCAATATTTTTCAGTTTTATCCATAATAAAATGCAAAGGCAGATTTTTGCTGAATGAGCCCTGTTGCAGAAATTTCTTCATATTAACATCCCACCTGCCTTCTGCTTTGAAACTCAGACAACTGAGAAAAGAGTCTATATCTGGACATTTTGCAAGGATTTCTGAATGTCAGGATCCATTTATCATGATCCCCCTCCCCACTTTATCTTTCAAATGCTTCAGATCAATTTTGGGGTACTGGATAAGAGGAAACGCTCAGTCTACTGATTTTTGTTTTGTTTTGATCCAACAAATCCCTTCTACTCAGTCTGCTACTGATGTACTGTCCACTGAACCATCCTTGCTTGGCCATTTTCTACTAGAGATATTAGAGATGGAATATTCAAACCTACGTAACAAAGGATTTGGTTTGGTCATCCAGAGACAAAAAAAGAAAACTTAATGGAAAACAGAAACATGTTTGCAGGTCAGTAAGCAAACCAACTATCAAGATAAATGTCAGAGTGGACTCAAATTTCTGCTTAGGTGTTTTGAAGTAAGCCGTGTGGCTCAACAGTCTTTGCCTCCCAAGGTATGTCTTTCAGTGCTGTAATGAAGAACAGTCCCTCCACTGAAGAAGACCTTCCATCGTGGAGCATCTATCACGATGCAGAGGAAGGCAGGAGAATTCAAGATTCTTGCCAGTTTGGTGGTGCAGCCAGGCTCTCTTGTCTTCTGGTGATTATTGCTTGGGCATGGCAAAATCCCAGGCGGTCTCTTGAGCACACTTCCACATAGCCCTGATGAGCCGTGTGAAGCCCATGTCTTTGGGTTTCTCCAAACCCCTCATAAGCCTCTGCTTCATGATAGCAACAAATTCCTTATTGCTCAGCTCTCCATTTCCTGAGGGAAGGAAAGGGAAGACTAGTTCAGACAATGGGAAATGTAAACAAGCCAACTAATAAAAAAATAACTTGCAGCAGCCCTGCCCAAATGTTTAAGTCATTGAAGACTAATTTCTACTGAATCTGCATTGGCCCATTTTCCCTCTTGATCAGAAACGTTAATTTCATTTGTGATGTCTAAATAAATTATGGTGGAACACTGGTATAGTTCCTACTGGTGTCACTCCCTCCCCAAAAGAAAACCACCAGGATTTTTTTTTTTAAAGAAAAAACAGGGTTATTTGTTAAGTGAATGCATAGTCAGCAATTTCTTTGTGGCCCAGCTCTGTTTTATTTTAAGCAGAGCCTCTCCTGTTTTTCTAATTGTCTTTGCTCATTATCCACATTTGTGATTCAGAAATACTATATTTCTTTATGGAAATAATAATCTTTTACTGCTACATGGCTATGGTCATTCTTGTTCACTATAACTGGTGGGATGGAAAAAGGGAGACTTTTGGAGAATTAAAAAACAAAAAGCCTTATTCTCATAGTCAAATATATGTCAAATATATGTAGATATAGACAAAAAAAACTACAGTAATCTACAAAGACCCACTGTCATGACTAAATGAGAATCTGGCCCTCATTTGTCGGCCGTGACCAGGGGGGCGTTTTATCAGGTTCGCCTGATTTACCAGTTGCGCCCTTTTCTGGACCGGGACGCTTTGCGCACAGTCACTCATGCCCTCGTCACCTCCCGCCTGGACTACTGTAATGCTCTATACATGGGGCTCCCCATGAGGAGCATCCGGAGGCTTCAACTGGTCCAGAATGCGGCCGCG